GCGCTGAGGGTGCTCCGGCAGCTGCTGAGGGTGGAGAAGGGTGCAGCCAGAGCACGGCTTTGCCCCGAGACACCGCAAACGCCGCAGTGCCGTGGCTTGGGCTCTCCAGCCCACCTCGCACCGTGTGACCTTCATTTAATCGCGTTAATGCCTCGAGTCTGCTCTGCAATCAGGCGGTATCAAACCTGCCCCTCCCCCCGGCAATAAAGGGAAGGGAGATGGAAGGGGAAAATAAGCAAAGATTAAACATTAATCTCCCCAGGGCCGAAAGGAACCGCGGTGGGCGGGAGGGGACCTGTTGCCTTTGGGCTCCTGCTGTGCCAGCGGGGTCTTGATGGGTTCCCGAGGATGTCCTGGCTGCTCTCAGCTTTGCTGAGGGCCAGAATTGGAGCTGGGGCACCGCTGCATCCCCCTGCCCCATCCCATCCCCGGGCAGGGTGCTGTGGGGTCTCAGGTGCTGCAGAAAGAGTCTTCCCCCAGACCAGCTCGGAATCTCTCTTTATTATTTAAATCCATTATGTACAACGACCAAAAAATAAAAAAACGCTCTTAAATTTCTCTGCGATATGAAAACTACAAGCTCTGTACATCGACTGCCGTGAGTGCAAGGATCATGGTCTTTGGTGGCTAAAACCCGCGCCCGCGCCCTTCACCGGGGTGMGCCCACGAGGTGACACGGAGCAGGGCAGGGGTGACCGCGACAGGAGCGCGGGGTGGCCCTGACTCCCGACACGGGATCGGGACATCAGAGACGCGGCCAGCGGGAGCTCGGTGCTGTCCGAGCCTGTCCGGGCCGGCCCTGCGGGGCGCTGGGATGACCGCTAAGACATCTACAATCACGCAGTGTGGACACAACCCGGCGACACGGGACACGCGGCCCCGCTTGCACACCCCTGCCCGAGGGGCTGCTGGGGACACACCGACCATGGGGATGGAGCGGGACGTGGGGGTGGGCAGGGAAAAGGGGGGAAAATCCACGGAAAAAAAGGCAGTGCGGGATATCCCCTGTGGCAGACGCTGCCGGGATTCCCGGTGGGTTGCCGCACCCCGCGGGCCGGGCTCCCGGAGCAGCCCCGGATTGCTCCCGACGTCCCAAAAACACGAAGGTGGAGAGCGGAACACCTCACTTCGATAAGCACCGCGGGGAACAAGACCTCGCCCGCCGCTCTGGGGGTCCGGGGGGCGCCGCTCTGAGCCCCAGAGGGCGAGGATAACCATGGTTCCTGACTCCGGGAGCGGGAAGCGGCTGGCGCGGCGTGGCGGGGTCGGAGGGGACACTACTCTAACCTGGACTGAACACGGTTGGCCCAAAGCGACACTGTAAGCAGAGCTGGGCTGCTCGGCAGAGCCACGACTCGCACACACATATTGCACACTACTGTCACTGCAGGGGGGGCGTGGGGCGTCTGTGGGGACCCTGCTCGAACCCCGCACGGCACCCAGGCGCTGCCCGGGATTGGCATCTCCTGTGACAGACAGCCTTTGCTCCCGTGGCACTGGTGACTGGCATCTGCAGGAAACCCGGGAACGGGAGTGCAGCGCGGGGCAGGGGAGCAGAGCCCGGGCTGAGCACTCTCCTGGGGCCACAGGAAATGGGGTACCCTCCGTGACCCTCTGAGCATCCTCCTGGGGCCACAGGAAATGGGGTACCCCCGATAATCCTCTGAGCATCCTCTTGGGCACACGGAGGGGTCCCCTTGGTGACCCTGTGAGCATCCTCCTGGGGCCACAGAAAATGGGGTACCCCTGGGACCCTCTGAGCATCCTCCTGGAGCAACAGAAGGGTCCACCCAGATGACCTTCTGGACATCATCCTGGAGCCACAGAGAGGTCTCCTTGGACTAACCCTCTGAGCATCCTCCTGGGCACACAGAGGAGTCCCCTGGTGACCTTCTGACCATCCTCCTGGAGCCACAGAAGGGTCCTTCTGGGGACCTTCTGGAATCTTCCTGGACCACAGAGGAGTCCCCTTGGACTGACCCTCTGAGCATCCTCCTGGAGCCACAGAAGGGTCCACCCAGATGACCTTCTGGACATCATCCTGGAGCCACAGAGAGGTCTCCTTGGACTGACCCTCTGAGCATCCTCCTGGGGCCACAGGAAATGGGGTACCCCCGGTGACCCTCTGAGCATCCTCCTGGAGCCACAGAAGGGTCCACCCAGATGACCTTCTGGACATCATCCTGGAGCCACAGAGAGGTCTCCTTGGACTGACCCTCTGAGCATCCTCCTGGAGCCACAGAAGGGTCCCTCTGGTGACCTTCTGGAATCCTCCAGGACCACAGAGGAGTCCCCTTGGACTGACCCTCTGAGCATCCTCCTGGAGCTGCAGGCAGCAGAATCCCCCCAGGCCGCCCCCATGCCAGGTTGGGGGGCAGTGGGGGGGCAGCCACAGTTCCCGGGTGTGGGGCAGAGCCCCGCCCAGCAGCACATCCCAACCTCACAGGGACTCAGCACCTCTGAGGCCAAACACTCCCACAAACCAGGGAGGGGAATGGGGGGCTGCTCAGTGGAGACCACCCCCAGCTTTGCCCCCTGGCAATCGTCAGACTGGGGGAACCCTGCCCGGGACCCCCAAATYCTGGCACCTGCACCCAGTGGGGCCGCGGGAAAGGGAGACCCGGCCCCTGCTGACCCCAGACCCCCTTCATCTGCCTGCCCGGGGAGCCCCTGCAGCCCCCTCCCTCCACCCGGGCAGCACACCCAGGGGTCTCTCCCTCCTCCCCCAAAAGGCAAAGGCGCTGGGCAGAGCGATCTGGGGATCGAGGCGGGCGYGGAGCAGCCCCMGCTGTGACAGGGACGAGCTGGAGGAGCTGCCAGCACCAGCCTGGCCCCGAGGACAGGCTGAGGGACACGGAGAGCGGGGAGATGAGCTCCCCGGTGAGGCCAGAGTTTGGGCAARGGCTCTGACCTGTCCCGTGCCTCCGGGAGGAGGGCAGAACGCACAGACGGCGATGAGCAAAGAGGGGACAGCCCGGGCAGGGTGACCCCCTCGGGGCATTCAGCAGAGCCCCCTCCTCATCCAGCTGCCCATCTCTGCCGTGCCCCCGAGCCTCCAACAGCCCCTCCACGGCCCCGGCTGCCGCCTCTCACCTCGTTTTCCCTCYGACACGGCGGGGCTGCCGCTCTGTTCCCCCCGCCTCCTGTGCCGCCGGGGTGCCCGGGTCCCTCCTGCCTGCGTGGGTGCCGCCAGGACTCACATGTTGGATGRGAGTTTGGGCTTCCCCGTTTCCACCTCGGGGCTGAAGGCCACGGAGCCCTTGCGGGAGGGAGCTGCCGCCTGCCGGGACGCCGAGCCCGGGGATTGGGGAGTGGACGCTGCCGCCGTGGAGCGGCCGGGCTGAGCCAGCGATCCTGAAGGCACCTGCGAGTGCGTGGGCTGGCCTGGCATCCCCGGACACGGCTTGGCTACCAGTCCGGCTACCGAGGGCGAGGACCTGCGGGCCAGGTTCCCCGCGGATTTCCTGCCCTGCTTCAAAGAGCTCCCGTCGGCTTGCTGGGCCACTTTATTGGGAAGGGAAGGCTGGGAGGCGGAGAGGAGCCGGACATCCTGGGTGAGCCGCCCCACCGGCAAGCCCTGGATGCTCCTGTGCTTCACCAGCTGCTGGGGCTGCATCAGGAGGGAGATGTGCGAGCCGGTGGCTCGGGACAGGCTGTAGTGGAGCGTTCTCCCCGGCGGCAGCGCCTGCTCGGAGCTGGGGGACGCCGCGCCCGCCGCTTGCTGCAGCAGCGAGGTGGACACCGAGGCTCCGCGGGACCGGGAGAGCTGGGGCTGGGGGCCGGCCGGGGGCTGCTTGGACCCCGCTGGCATCTCCCCCCTCGGCGCCGCTTGCTGCAGGGGCTGCGCCCCGGGGCTGGGTCTCTCCAGCGGCGCCTGCGACTGGACCATGGGCGAGGAAGGCGAGCCGGCGGCGGGCGTTTGGAGGTGCGACTGCGGCGCGGACGGGGAGCTGACGGAGGAGGGCCGGGAGCCGCCCAGRCTGGGCTGCGAGCGGCGCACCGGTTTGGCGAGCAGGGTGGCCTCGGGAGACAGCGGGCTGGAGATGGAGGAGGGMGGCAGGAAGATGTGAGCCTGCAGGCTGTGCTGGTGGGTCAGCGCGATGGCCACGTTGGTGGTGGCCGCGGCCGTCTGCAGGGGAGCGTGCACCAGCGGCTCCCAGATGACCGGCTTCCCGCTCAGCTCCCGGCCCATGGCCATCTGCTGCAGGTCCTGGATGCTGTGAGCCACGTCCTGGTCGTGCTTGACGATCTGCTGGATCATCTCGGTGTTGAGGGGTCCCGAGCTGTGCTCGGCTCGCTTGCGGAGGAGGATGGAGTTYTTCTTTCCTGGGTGGGGGGAGGAGGGAGTGTCAGTGACCCTGAGGTGGGGACAGCGCGGAGGGCGGGGTGGCAGCGAGGAAGGGACAATGGAACCTCAGCAGAGGGCCAGGGGAAGCAAAACCCTGGGAAGGGTCGGGGTTGGGGCAGAGGAAGCAGAAGGGATAGAACAGGGGAGTTCCTGATGTGGGCCTGTGATCCTCAGGGTTCCTGACACTGTCACCCGTGGGGTTGGGGATCTGTCACCATCACCCGTGAGGATGGGGGTCTGTGATTCACAGGGTCTGTGACACTGTCACCCATGGGGCCTGGGGTCTGTGATCCACAGGGTCCGTGACACTGTCACCCGTGGGGTTGGGGATCTGTCACCATCACCCGTGAGGATGGGGGTCTGTGATTCACAGGGTCGGTGACACTGTCACCCTTGGGGCCTGGGGTCTGTGACCCACAGGGTCGGTGACACCGTCACCCTCGGGACAGGGTGTCTGTTGGCACTGGCAGCGGGAGCAGAGGTGGCCGTGCTGCACCCAGGGGGTCACTCCTCCTCACCGATGCGGTCCAGCCGGTCCATGGCCACGGTCTCGAAGGCCCTGCGCATCATGGGGTACTCCTCCAGCACCTCGTTGAAGTTATCCACCGACAGCGAGTACAGGCGGCAGTAGGTGTCGGCTCGCACGCTGGCCGTGCGCCTGCCACGCGTCAGCAGGCAGATCTCTGTGGGGACACGGGGTCAGGGTCAGGGGGACAATGCCACACATCCCCTCCCAGCAGGCAGATCTCTGTGGGGACACGGGGTCAGGGTCAGGGGAACAATGCCATACAACCCCCTCCCAGCAGGCAGATCTCTGTGGGGACAGGGGGACACGGGGTCAGGGTCAGGGGGACAATGCCACACATCCCCTTCCCAGCAGGCAGATCTCTGTGGGGACAGGGGGACACGGGGGTAGGGTCAGGGGGACAATGCCACACATCCCCTCCCAGCAGGCAGATCTCTGTGGGGACAGGGGACACGGGGGCAGGGTCAGGGGGACAATGCCATACAACCCCCTCCCAGCAGGCAGATCTCTATGGGGACACAGGGTCGGGGGACACGGGGCTGAGGTCAGGGTGGCACGGCCACATATTCCCTCCCAGCAGGCAGATCTTTGCGGGGACACGGGGCCAAGGGACACAGGGCCAGGGTCAGGGTGACACTGCCACACATCCCCTCCCACAGTCAGAGCACGAACAGGACTGCCCGGCACCCCTACACCCTGCACCAGGGCAGGAGCCTGGAGCACGGAGTCTGCAGCAGCATTTTCCTCCCTCTCCAGGCCATGGATCTGCCCCCAGGCCTGGCCCATTTCCCTCCCAGAGCTGTGCCTGTATCCTATAAATGATGTGGGATATAGATGTTTCTGATGTTCTGCTCTAAAATCCCCTCCTCCATGCCAGCAGTGGGGTGCTGGAGCCTCCCTCCATGCAGCCACCCAGAACTGGGGTGAAGCGGACACCAAACCTTTGGCCCTGGGCAAAACCATCAGGGATGCCCCAAATTCTGCCCCACAGGCCGCTCTTTCCCCCTCTCCAAATCCCCCAGCCCAGTCTCACCCCCAAAGTAGGAGCCATCAGACAGCTTYGTCTCCTTGTTGCCCTTGGTGAGGATGCTGACCACGCCGTGCTGGATGAAGTACATCTTTTTACCCACGGTGCCCTCGCGGATGATGAAGTCCCCGGGCTGGAARACCTCGAAGCGCAGCTTGGTCAGCATGGCCGTCACGAAATTGGGGTCGGCGTTGGCGAACAGGGGCATGTTGGCCACCAGGTTACGGCAGTTGAAGTTGATGATTTCCTGTGGGGTGAGGGGTCAGTGGGGGATGTCACCGAGCCTGTGAGCCCCTGTGAGTGCCACCCCCTTTTTCCACACCTCTTTGAGCGGCTCGCTGAGCTCCCCCAGGATGTTCTCCTCGTCGAACATCTTGCCCTGGTAGCGGTGCTCGTAGTACTCGTGGATGCGCTGGCGCGTGTCCCCCGGCAGTTTGTGGAATGACATGTACTGCTCCACTTGCTTGTACTGTTGGGGACACAGTGCCACAAAAAATCTTGAGTGCACGGGGCTGAGCTGGGGTCACCTGCACGGCCAGGTGTSCCCTGTTCTTGGTGACAGAGACACAGGAATCTCTGCTGCAGGGTCCTGTCCTCAAAAACCAACTCTGGGTCAGAGGGAAGGACCTCGTGCACTCAGGATGGACCCAGGGCAGAGGGCAGGATGGAGCCACACTGGGCAAAAGTGACCCCAATATGGAGACCAGTATGGACTCTGTCAATGGACAGCAGAAGCTCCACGGCAACAACCCTAGGGAGA